GGAGCTTATGGCTGAGGCGTGAATGGAGACATTGCAAACGTATGGAAAGAACTTGTATTGCCGCTTTCTTAATAGCAGGAAGGGATTAGCGGGTCAGTGGTCTGTGCACAGAGCAAGTGTGAATGGGCGGTGCAGGTTATCACAATGCACACCTGCTGCGACACGAAAGGCCTCTTCACCAAATGATCAACACATTATACCAAAGTGCAGTGTGCTTGTCTGTTCTCTACATACCTATGGTGGCAGTGTCACAGCTTGTCGCTCTACTCTTCAAACATCTATATTCCAAAATACCAATCATGGTCCAAATGCAGCATTACAGACCTCTCTCCTCAGGCCCTTCACATGAAGGTATTATTGGCCATTGGTTGGAAATTGCCAACCAATAAATAACCAAGATGGCGCCGCAGACGGCCGCCTCGGGATTACGCTCCATAGTGCTTTTTGTGTTTTTGTTATTTTTTTTCTGCCGTCCCACTCTGGTAACTTTTACCAGAGAAGAGCGGCAGCTCTATTTGGGATCCTTCGGAAACGGCGCAGGGGAAAACGTGCAGGCGCGCTGGTTAAGCTGAGACAGCGCGGATTTCGCACTGCGCTCCCTTCAATCCACCTGGCGAATGTCCGCTCTCTGGCCAACAAAATGGACGAACTGCTGCTCCTCAACAGAACTAACTTGGACTTTTGTAGATCTGCTGCCCTCTGTTTCACTGAATCCTGGCTCACCGAGCGCATCCCGGACAGCGCACTTCATCTACTGGGATTTAATCTCATCCGTGCGGATCGTGAAAGGGAGCTCACGGGAAAAACAAGGGGAGGCAGACTCTGTTTCTATATAAAAAAAGGTTGGTGCACAGATGTCACAGGGTTGAAGAAATCATGCAGGCCTCACCTAGGGACATTATTTATAAACTGTAAAGGAGTAAACTGGAGTGTTTTATTCCCCGTGGGAGTTTTCCTCGTTTGTTCTGGTCGCTGTTTACATTCCACCTCAGGCCTGTGTTAGTGTGCGTTACTACACCTGGCCGACCAGATAACTAACGTGGAGAAAAACATCCAGACTCCCTGCTCATAGTTCTTGGGGACTTTAACAAAGCAAACCTCAGTCATGAACTTCCAAAATACAGACAGCATATTAAGTGTCCCACCAGGGACACTAACACACTGAACCACTGCTACACAACACTGAAGGATGCCTATGGCTCTGTTCCCCGTGCAGCCTTGGGACTCTCTGATGACTGTCTGGTTCATCTTATCCCGACACACAGGCAAAAACTGAAATCAAACGCTCCACAGTTATCCCGGTACCAAAAAAACCCTCCATCTCTGGACTAAATGACTACAGGCCCGTCGCCCTGACATCTGTAGTCATGAAGTCCTTTGAAAGACTGGTGTTGGCCCACCTGAAGGACATTACAGGCCCCCTGCTGGACCCCCTGCAGTTTGCCTACAGGGCTAACAGGTCAGTGGATGATGCTGTCAACTTGGGTCTGCATCACATCCTGCAACACCTCAACTCTCCAGGGACATATGCAAGGATCCTGTTTGTGGAATTCAGACTTCCTGACTGACAGGAGTCAGCAGGTGAGGCTGGGGAACGTCACATCCAGCACCCGGACTATCAGCACTGGCGCCCCCCACTGCTCTTCTCCCTCTACACCAACGACTGCACCTCAGGAGACCCATCTGTCAAACTCCTGAAGTCTGCTGATGACACAACGGTCATCGGCCTCATCCGGGACGGTGATGAGTCGGCGTACAGACGGGAGGTTGATCAGCTGGCTCTCTGGTGCGGTCAGAACAACCTGGAGTTTAACACACTCAAAACTGTGGAGATGACCGTGGACTTCAGGAGGATCCCCCCCCACTCTGCCCTCCATCACCATACTCAACAGCCCTGTGTCTGCTGTGAAATCCTTCAGGTTTCTGGGTTCCACTATATCCCAGGACCTGAAGTGGGAGCCCAACACTGGCACCATCATCAAGAAGGCCCAGCAGAAGATGCACTTCCTGCGTCAGCTCAAGAAGCTCAACCTGCCTAAGGACCTGCTGATCCACTTCTACACAGCCATCATCTAGTCGGTCCTCTGCACGTCCATCACTGTCTGGTTTGGATCTGCCACCAAAAAGGACAGAGACAGACTACAACGGACAGTCAGGACTGCAGAAAAAATAATTGGTGCCAACCTGCCCTCCATTCAGGACTTAGAGAGAGTCAGGATACAGGCAGGAAACATCACTGCAGATCCATATCACCCCGGACACAACCTGTTCCAGCTTCTCCCCTCTGGTAGGCGCTACAGAGCACTGTACGCCAAAACAACAGACACAGAAGCAGTTTCTTCCCACAAGCCATCACTCTGATGAACAGCTGATTTCTGACTCACAGTGTCAGGAACAATTCCTGTGCAATAACCCAGTAACTCTGCTTCTAATCAGCACCTGTTTACTGGTTTCCACTTATTATTTATTTATTCACCATTCTCTATTTCAGTGCTGTTCATAATATGTCATATTGTATATACTGTATACCAATACACCTACCTCAGGTCATAAGGTCATAGGTCTTATTTATTTTTTCCAGCATCCTTTGCACTATGCTCCCTCACACTGTGTACATGTATGCATGTATGTGTATGTGTACCTGTATATCATATCCACCTTCAACATGTACATAATGAGAATAGTTTACTCTTGTATCCTTTGCCCCTCTGATCACTGCACTATTTGTCAATATGTCTATATTGTTTTGTTCATAGTGTGTATATTAGTGTTGTCTATTCTGTAGTTTGTGTCTGATTTTATTTTATTATTGTGTTATGGTATTGTATAAGTAAGCACATCATGAGCAATGTACAATCCTGAGTCAAATTCCTTGTATGTGTACATATACCTGGCAATAAAACTGATTCTGAAAGATTGACACTGGAGGTGAGCTACCATAGGCTTAATGTAGTAAACTGCAAGCTATGTGACCTAACCCACTAACCTCTATGGGAAATTATAGTAGTAAGATAACAGGCTAGCAATGACAACTGGCAATGCACTTTTAGTGTTTACAGTAAACAAATATAATCAAATTATGCCGCCTTTTCACAAACTTTTTATCACAAAGCCATAACTTCTCACCCAATTCCCCAATCTTCTATTTTCAGGGCAAAATGAAGCTCTCAACTCAAAACAATTCAATCTCGCTGAAAAACCAAACTTTACCCTCAGACATGAAAACACACACAACATAGTCTTACACACTGGTGAGATAAATTCAAAACAAAACTACAGAAACTGGTATAAAGTATTTCTCGATTGCTTAAACACATTTCATGAAAGTATGCCTCTTTTTTTTGAAACTCTAAACACAAATCCACAACTTCTAACCCTATTCCCCAAATGTCCTATTCTCAGGTCAAATTGAAGCTCTCCACTCAAAACCATTCAATCTTGCTGAAAAACCAAACTTTGCCCTCAGACATGACACACAGGCCCTGTGAAAACACACACACACACTACAACAACACAGTTTCACACATTGGTGAAATAAATTCAAAATAGTACAAAAACTGATTATGTTGCTTGTGGTTCCCCCCCTTAAAAAAGCATTTTCACATGATGGAAAAAAAGAAATAACAAATGTAAACATTTGCACATTTTTTATTCCTTCGTGTACTGTACAGTGCAACACACCAAACAACTAATTATTCTGCCCCAGCATCCTGTCTTTGGTCTGTGACAGGCCAGAGATTCTTGTCCTTCACCTCCTTCTCCTCCGCCCTACTTCTGCTCCACCACCTCATCTTCCTCCTATCCTTTCTCCTCCTTTAACTCCCACTGTTCCTCTTCCTTCAACTCTTACTCCTCTCCATACTGCTCTTTCTCCTCCTCCTCCTCCTCCTCCTCCTCCTCCTCCTCTCTGGAGTCCTCTGCCTCTTCCTTCTCATCTCTCTTGATCCATTGTTCCAAAACCTAAATGAACTGACTCAGGCCCTTTTATCTGTCTTTTGAAGGCTATGATTGGAGTGTGATCAGTTATGAGTCTTTGTGTTTCCACCTGGGTACTTGTGTGTTAATTGAGCTCAAGCTTTGCTGACTTGAGTGAACCATATTGAATGCTAGTGCTTTCATAACAACCACATGGTTTAGGCAATAAGAAATGAAGGGATTTGAGTGTAGTTTTGCAGTGACAGTTCAACAAATCTGAGTCATGTGTCAAAACATCGGAATAGAGTTTATAGTTTAGGGAATTAGGTGTGCTTGTTGATAAATGGCTTTATGGTTTTGAAATTTTAATTCAAAAGCCTGATTACATTATTTAAGGAATCAGGAAAACTGTAATGCGTGCAGCTGTTCCATCTTATTACATTAGATACTAACTATTCAGTTAATAAAGATTTCAAGTATCCAAATATTTATGACTGAGTATTGCATGGAGTGTTTAATGATTAATAGATCACCTTTTTGATTTATATTAATGTTCAGAGAGGAGCAATATACATATATAAGTGAATTGAGTGCAATGAAATCATGTTTACTAGACAGCAGCACCAAGCTATTTAAACATACTGTAGGTAGAGTAGAGAAAGGTCTGGAGTAGGTTATGGATGCACCTTGCTAACCAAGCTAGCTAGCCACCCTGTTGTTTGCGTTGGATGGCACCAGAGCCCTGCAGGACTAATACTGTCACACTCAGCCTTGCCATGTTTTGCACTTTAGAGTTTGGTCAGTTTATTATCTGTTATTTTGGTCTATTGGGTATTGGGATTCTGTCTTGTCTATCGTTTAGTGTTCTGTAACACTTGTCATGTCTGTTACCCCAGTGATCCCTCTGCATGTCAGTCTCTGTTTTCCCCCCCGCTCTCTCTCCCTGCCTACCTGTACCTCGTTAACCTTGATCCCTGTCACATGTGTTGCTCCCGCCTGCTCGTTAGTCCCTGTGTATATAAACCTGGTGTTTCTGTCTTGTCTTTGTCGGGTCATTACCTCCTGTTACGTTGTCTGTGCTGTCTTGTCGTGTTTGGATTTTGGACCTTTGCCTGTTTCCGGATTTCACTTTGGATTACTTTGTTTCCGGACTTTGTTTCTTCAGCCTCTCAACCCGTAAGTGTGCTCGCCTTGTGTTTGTTAATAAACCTTTTGAGCTATACCTGCTACCCTACGTGCCCTGCATTTGGGTCCGCCTCCTGCTCTACCCTGCCTCACCACCACTAACTCGTGACAACTACTTAATTTTATATAAAACCTGGACAAAGGTGGACATTACTTGGAGAAAAGAAAGCGAGGAAGTTGAACTACCTGGTGAGTTTAGAAAATGTGTGTCACTTTATTCCAGCTGTCATTGTACTTTACTTACTTACTTTTAGCATAGCATAGCCCTGATCAATCAGAACTCCATTCAGAAAACACGTATTTTAAAAGTTGTCGTCCTGCTGACAGACCTGACAAAGCATGAATTCATATGTCTAACAAAACGGCATCATATTTTAGTTATTTCTGCATCAGTTTGATCAGTTTATTGCAACTAAATCATAGCAAAGGGTTTACTTTGGGTTCATATAGCTGTATCCGCGGGCTGTGTTTATACGTTTAAAACGCGTGTGTAAGAGAACACTCAATGTCCAGCGGTCAAACTCGCGCGAGTAAAGCAAGGCGAATATTAAATTCGCTTTCGGTAGGAACGCAGCTTAATCTGACACAAGGCACAGAGAGGACACAGGGGGGGAGGGGTGGACCTGCCCAGTTAGAGATGTGTGGCCTACAACTCATAATCAAACCTCACTGGCTTACAGAACTAGGGCTGCAGTAGGGAGGTCATGTTCAAACCCCACTGGCTCACAGAACTGGAGCCTCAGGAGGGAGGACTGCAGATGGACCCTATTTTAAAATACTGACACCAGTGACATGCAGTGTTTCCTCCAAACAAAGGTAATGAAGCCAGATTGCCTACAGTGGTGTCACACACCTTGCAGTACATTTCTGCATCACTACAGCAAGATGAAACATTAAACCACTGCACAACAAAATTTTCTGCTGCAGTTAAGTTGCTTGTTAATACAGTTTGACTTCATGCAGTGCTTCGCAGCACTGACCACTTAATGTTGTCCTTAACATAAGCCTGCAGTTCACGTTTGACTATCATGTTCAGTCAGTATCAAGTCAGCAGCAGTCATTTTGAACACACCTAATGTCTAGGCAATGGTTATACCCTAACGTGTCCATGTGTATTTGTTTGAATGAAAGTATGGATAACCAAATAAAAATGTTAGAAGGCTGGCTGGATGTATGCTGTTTGGGGCTTAACACAACTTGACATCAGCTGCAAGCTCAGGCAAAACTCCATGAAATGTCCAAGATGTTCTTATTTAAAGGGGCGGTAGAATGGAAATTTTCATTTATTTCATAGTTAAATAAAAAGACTTACCATGAGCCTCAAACTCTATTGTTAGCTCTGTCATATGTAAATGTTGCACATTCAAAATACCCCTGAAAAAACAGGCGAATGGCAACAAGCACCAGATGTTACTTAACATCTGGGATGTTTATGCCCCCAAAGTTACATGGACCAGCCCATGTTTCAGAGTTAGCTATGCTTGGGAAAGTTGTCCAATCAGAAGCAAGTGGGCTTTCAGGGAGGGGGGACTTAAAGAGAGAGGAGCTAAAACATAGTGTTCAGACAGAGGGTGCAAAGAGGTGCTGAAGCAGTGAACAGTATGGGGGGGGGGGGGGTGAAATATGAATGTGTTTTTTGAACACTAAAGCATGTAAACAATTTCTAGTAGAAACCCTAAATACAAGTATGGACGTGAAAATGAGTATTCTAAAGCACCTATAAGTTTTGTTGTCATGCTTGGTTGCCTGTCCAAATTATAAAGAAAATACATTAATATTGTACAATTTCACAATTTATGTCCACTGCCAGCATGTAGTGCAAATGCAGTAGTGTGGCCTTTCTCTAGCCAAGCAGAAAGTAAGGGTGAGGAGGTCGTGGTGGTGTTTGTGTGTAATGCCGCAGACTTAAATGGAGGACACTGGAGTTCGTCCCATGTCACAGAATTGCAGTTAACGTTTACCTTTTTGAGTAGGGCAACACTACAACAACAACCTATGATATGGCTTGGCAACAAAAAGACTGGAGGCTGTGGTTACTATACTTGGTATACTTTGTAAAACATTAAAAGGGGTGGCGGTGGAACAGTGGAATGCAACTTGCTCCAGAGGCATGCAACCTCTGAGATATATATATATATATATATATATATAGCAATTGTAAGTCACTTTGGATAAAAGCGTCAGCTTAATTATTATTAAATATTAAAAAAGACCAATGCCTACTGCTTCATTTAATCCCTGACTTTGTCCCTATCTAATAATGATCACATCCTTCTCTAATCTTAACCAAGTGCTTTGAGTCACTGATAATAACAATTATGCTTTAGGAGGATGAGCTGGTATCGTAGGGAAAACAAATTAAATAAATTAACACTGAACTTTTTTGCAGAAATCTTCAATATGAATATTTTGCTTTATTTTTAATATATTTCCTTGTTATGTTTGATAAAAATGTATGCTTGACAGCTTCGTACATACATCTCTGCTTATTCAAATTAGCTGTATCTGAGTGCAAGAGTTGATGGGTAAATCATGATGAATAATGCATAAACACACACAAAAAGTCAAAAACCCAAATGGATTTCACAAGATGTAAAAATACAGCCTCACAAACAAAACCCCACAACCATGTCCACTGGAGCGCAAGTCCCTACTGGAACCACAGAAAGACAAAAGAAAAGTGTCAAATCTGACAGGCTGAGTCCATCTGGGCAAGACCTCACAGCCATCATGCATGATATTGACCTATTGGTTCACTCATGAGAAGGCCCCAGGCATTTCACACATTTGTCTATGTTTGGAAGTACCCTAAGGTATTTCCTATATGTAGTTTTGTATATGTGTCTGATGTTATTGCTGTTTGTGGATATGCAGACGTATGTTCTTGAAATTCCCTAAGCACTGCGCATCTCCTGAATAATTTGACTTGCCATGAATATTTTTAAATGTGTCAACATGGGACCCAATGTGTTTCCCTTTTGTACACACACATACATGCACACTCACACACTGCCATCTCTGAAGTGTCGGCTGAGTGTACCAGACCGTTCCCCATGGATAAACATCGATGGGATGTATTGTGGTCTCTCTGAGCAGAGTGTGTGTTCCTCAGCTCATGTCAAGGCGTTCCACTCACATTCTGGGTTGGTATTTTTAACCCAGATGTTTTTTTTTTCACTTCAGTCAGAGACATTTTTCCTTTTCATTTTTGACAACATTTAGAATTGTAAATGCCACACACAAGGTCACTAGGTGTGAGGTTATAGCACTACTGGCTTAAAGATAATTTCCTTTGTTACAGCAGTACCAAAACACACAAAAGTCAATAAACTTTCTTTTATTAAATCACATACCTACAAAAGTTCAGCACAGGAACCAATTCAATAGGAATTTCCAGCTTCTCTGGGCTACAAAACCATTTCAACAGATTTTTCTAGTGCGTCTCTACTCCACCGAGGACCAACTTTTAACACTTTCTGTGTTTTAGAATCTATTGTGCCTCTTAAAGAAAAGGGAGTGATTCCTCAAACCTTACTCTGGCTTAATGACCCCACTAGAGTCTTTACAAGAAATTGTAGGAAAGCTGAAAGGAAGTGGAAAAGAACACAACCAGTCAGAGTTTGTTGCGTGGGTTTATTTCAAGTCAAGTCAGCATGTTTTAAGCAACGTAATTATGAGTGTCTAGTCTAACTTTGATCAACAAAACAAATCAAATGTCGGAGAGACTGCAGCCTGGGAAGGTGCTAGAGCTGGTATGGAAATAAGATGTCTGTTGTGTGGGAACACTTTGGCATTAGTCAAGATGATAAAGACAAAACAAAGGAAAATAAAAATACTGTGAGATAATAGCAAAACAACTGACTAAATGTGTTCTTATCTTGCTCCAGTGATGTATATGTGTACACCAGGACCCTGTAACATCACTGTTGGGCATTATTACAGGTGCAACAAAGTACAGTTGACCACACCCAACCTGAAACAGCCTTACAATATTCAACCAGAGAGAGCTTCTCAGCCTGATTCTGGCTGACCCTGTGATTAATTGGACAAACTCCTAAAAGAATGTGTACCACTGACGTAAATGGAGGCTTGACCCCTCATGTTTCTCACTGCTCTCGCTCTTCTTAAATGCTTTAATGTTCCCTTTTAATATTAATTTTCCATTTATTTTTGACTATTTAAAGCACAGCTCCTCATTTTGCATTTTAAATCCAATTTTTTGGCTTCTAGTGGCTACTACTGACCAAATCTGTGAAAATGATAAATCTGTAATATTGCATTTGTTATTGCAGTTGTGGACCACTTTTTCAAATGTATTGTACTTAAAGTCATGTGGACTGTGGTTATCACTTGTAACTGAAATGGATTGTGGTGTACCAAGCTGGTAAATTACATCAATGTCAATTTTTAACTGAGCCTTTATTTCTTTTGAAACCCACAGGACTTACAGTGGGATATCACTTTACTAAACATTGGTGCCGTGTTTGCCCAGTCATACTGTCAATGTCAAACAATATCAAAACTTACAAAGAAATACTTGGCCTTTTTGAGATGAAAGATTCTGTCTGTGTTTTGAAGAGCGAACACTGTCATACAGCTTGAAAGGTTTCTGTGACAATACTCTGCTGGAAGTGGACTGCATTTAAGTGGAGTGCATCTGTATAAGTGGTTGAAGTTCTAGGTACTCATCAGGCAGATCTGACCTAAGAGGCCAATTGAAAATCAACCTTTCACAAGATCATACCCTGTCAGAAAGCACCATATATTTCTTCCTTCCATCCAATAGCGACAGTACGTTGGATGAAAATATTTGCAGCAGCTGCACTTTATAACATATACTTGAATAAGGAGATAAGGCAAGAGACAATTTAGAAGAGAGCAGAAATTAGTCAGTCACCTGCTGCTAATGTTCTTCACCAACTAGTTTTAATATATTGAGGTTGCTGTGCTAGTCAGATACACTCTGGGTCTTATTGTCATAGTTTCAGTCA